AAAAAAAAAAAAGATGTGCATTCGATATTTGTCAAGAATAACAATTTTATAATTGAAAAAAATTGGTTCTTCTTTTTTATCATACAAAGTAATCTATGCATATTTCTCATGCAAAAGCTAATTTTTATCGATACATTACCGTAACTGCTGTTGCTATACCGTCTACCACGGTCTGTGGTAAGCAATTCAAAGGAAAAAAAAAAACGGTATTGTGATAGGTAATCAGCAGTTAAAAAGAACACCATAATAAAGTAACTGTTTAACCTTGTTTAAAAAATTAGTTTAACGCTCAGTACAAAAAGAAGAAAAGAAATAAGAAAGGAAAAAGGGAGGGGAAGAAGATGACTACGATATTGACAACGATAGTGACCGCAGCGGCGACTACGGCGAAAGCTACGGCAACGACGAAGACGCGGTAATAGCGATAAGTAAGAGGGAAAAAATTTTTAATTTTAAATTCATTAAACGATCACAAATCTTCTTCCGTCCTTTCTTTAATTTTCTGAACTAAATTATTCTCCTCATTATGCTTCCTGGGAATAAGAATACTAGACTACACTCTGCAATCTCATGGTCAGCGACAATAACTACAGTTTTTATTTGCTTTGTTTCCAGCTCATTAAACTGTCACTTAGTTTCTAAATTATAGTAATTAAAAAATAACAAGTAGAAAAATACACGAAATTTCACCATATACAAGCCAAATTTATTGTTTTCTTATATTTAACAAATAATATTCATCTAACGTCTGTCTGCTTCTTTTTTTTTTTTTTGTCCTCCCCCTTCCCCTTCCCCCTTATCTTAACGCATCACAAAAAACTTTAGGTATGTTCTACCGTTGGCAACTGCCAGCAACCAGATAGATACACTTGCAGCAAAACTTTCATGGGGTACCTAGAATCTATTTAACTTCTCATTTATTGCTTCGAGACGCTCCATAAAAACTGATTATCCTCAGTGCTCTCTGTTTCCTTTCTCTGCTCTTTCGACTAACTCAGTTT